GCTGCATCAAAGTTTGCCATCTCTGGTAAGGAAAAGCAGCATTTACAGCCCCTTCCCTTTCTCTCAAAACCCAACAGTTTTCTACTGAGGAAAATGAATTATGTATCAGGTGTTCTGAAATGTGTAACTATCTCTGGAATCTAATTGGTCCTGATTTCCTCACGGTTTTGTAGCAACCTTGAGTAAAGGTGCTGTGTCCAGGCTATCATAGGGTAGGGTACTTACCCTGTTGCTTTAAAAAGATGAGTTTTTTTTCCAATTGTAGAAGTCTATCAAACTGCTAGGCAAAATGCCAATGTATTCTGACATTTTAACCTATTTGGGTTTTGGATTATATGTTTTTAATCTGACAAACTTCAGGTTCAGTGGTTGGGGAGAAGACTATCATTTGAATCTCCCAATATTTTTTAAAGTTTCTGGAATGGTACTAAAGCTGCATTTAATTTTACTTATTTGTCATAATGCTGTCAGGACTTTAAAGACTATTTATCTTGGCTAATCCTTCCTGGAGCTCAGGAAGTGCCCTTAATCTAGAATTTTATTGATCTGATGAATCTCAAACAAATTTTGCCCCACTTAATTAAGTTATGTCTCACTCCTTCCAGGGTCCACTGTTTGTTTTGGACCTATGCCAAAGCTACTTGAGCAACTATCTGCCACAGCAAAGAGACTAAGGGTAATGTTTTAAAACTAGATTCTTGCCAGAGTTTTTACCTTACATTTAAGGGGAAAACATGTACTGATATAGGAATATAATTTTATTTGGGCAATGGTGTAACTGTTGGATTTGGCTTAGGTTTCTATTTACCATTTTTAGAAGTATAACCTTAACTCCAAACATCAAATTAAACTCTTTTCTGACTCAGGCATCATTAATTACATACTGTACCAAGAATTTAATGTTCTTTTCCACCCATTGACAGGTGGAATTAAAAGGTCTTTCAGCCTTATCCAGATTTACTAACTGAAACACTGTCAAACAAAACCTGGTAATATAAAATTCCAATTAGAAGTTTATAATCAGAGAGACAAGTTTTTTTGATATGAAGATACTGTAACCTCAAACATCAGTCTAGATGTATTTTTAAATTTAATTAAACACAACACCATGAGAGAAAAGAAAATTAAATGAAGAAACTAAAAGAGAAATGAAAAAGAACAAAGCTAACATTTGTTAGTATTCCTAATGTATCCTACTGGAAACACCTAGAAAACTCCATTTGTTCTGTTGCTTTTGTTTGTCTGAATTGCTGAGTAACCCTTAATTATAAATGGTCTTTAATGAATTGCCTCCATTACATTCAGAATATTTTAAACAAAGAGTAACATAATGAAGAGAGCACAGTATGAGCTGAATGGGCTCACCATAACTAAAAGCTCAGTAAAAGAGATAGTGGAGCTGAACGCTAGGCATTTGTTTTCATGCTCAAGCTTCAGACAAAACTACAACAACCAATGTAGGTAGAACAAATCTTCAGGATCACATCTCTGCATAGACAAGGGAACCCAGAACAAGGGGGATTCTTTATTAAGAACTATGGACAGTCATGAAACAGGGTGAAGCACCCTCAGTAGTCGGCCCTCTGAGGGCTGCAGTGACTCTGGACTACATGATTATTCACATGCTCATGTATAATAGTTTTTGACTTGCTTAAAGCTTAGGCTTCCCCATTGGAATACAGGGGTACTAATTCTTTTAAATCAGTGGTGAGTGGCAGGATGAGTGTGGACACTGGATCTAGGCAGAAACTCGCAAAGGTCCCCAGTTCTCTGTGAGGCCTGCAGGAGCACAGTCCCATTAAGAACACAGTTTTGAGAACTGTAGTCACTTGTGAAAGTTTCCAAGAGCTGCAGAAATTTGTGCTCCTTTGGAAAAGCAACAAATACTTACAGATGAAAGAAAAAGCATAAAACCTTACCCTCAGCTGCATTCCAGGTCTCTATTCTTTGCTCCCTCTTTGGTACATTTTTTCTTTTCATTCTTTTGCATTTCAGCATTTTAGATTTCAAAGCGCTTTTTAAATCTTGCCCAAAATCCCTTACTATCCACTAGATGTCACAGTAGCCTTACCAGTATTGTTGAATACAAGACTAATGAAAGAGAATTTGGGTGGGAAGGGGATGTTACTTGAAATTTACCTCCTCTCTCTTTCTGATAGACAGTGTGTTCAGGACAATATAAAGTGACAGGAGGCAGAGTAAAATGATTCTGTGCTGAGAGTTAATCTCCTTTCAGGAAACTGATCTAGGGTATGTGCAAGTTACTTCTCATAGAAATTTCAAGAATCCATTTGACAGCAAATCTTCTAAAGCAAGGATTACACAGGCTGTGGAACAGGCTAGTAATCCTTGTGCTGGGGAAAGAAAGTAGGGTGTTCCAGTTCTGCAAATGTGGATGCGTGTCAGCTCTGCAATAAGCACCTCCACATAGGCATAGAGCACTAACTGAAATTAATACAGGTCTTAACCTGTACATTTCAGTTGTGCAACACAGACAAGCTGCTTTAAAAAAGAAGATTCCTGCTATATTGTCCATGGCTGAAGCCCTCTCAGCAGTAAAATATTGTTAGGAAAAGCGTTAAAAACCCATTACACAGCTAAAAGAAATGGAGAAGAGCTAGCTCACCTGAATTCATATTTCATGAAGAAACTCTCACATGGATTTAGAAATTTACATGAAAAAATGGGAAAGCACTTCTTTTTATGTCTTCTAGAATAATTTCTCCTATCAGGGATAAAAACTACACACTTGGTCTCTAGATACTGATCTAGTTAACCTACCAACCACATTTAACTGTAGATAGTAAGTGATGCTTTGCAACTAGTAAGAATGTGTTTAAGCACTGAATCAGCTGAATAGCATTTTCTCTCAAGAGAATTATTTTACTCATAATAAAGCTATACCGTTAGAATAACAATAATCCTACATGCATAATATGAGGGGTCACTTAGCATTACTGGTACAAAAGTAAAAACATTTCCTTGTTGTGCAAAAGCTAGATCTCACCTACTAAATGTGCACAACTAGAGGGAAGAAATTTGCAGATTACTATAACAGAATAAAACAAAAACAAAAACAAGCCAGTTTTTAGTACACTTTGTAGGCATAAATTTTTTTATTTAGGATTTTTATTTTTTTAAAGTTTTTGCCACAAAAATCAACAAGAACAAATGCAAAGTCCTTTACATGCGATGTACTAAACCCCTGCACTAGTTCATACTGAGTTAAATATATGCTTTGCATAACCTAGTTAATGGTAGGCTAAGCATGAATCTGCAGTGTAGTCTGGCAGTATACTAGGCTGAAGCAACAACCAGTAGTTTGAGGGAAGGGATCAGTTCCTTTGACTTGGCACTTGGTGTACATCACCTTAGGGGGAGCACATTCTGTTTCCTCCTCCAGTTCATTCAGCTTTGGTTGCCCCAGTACAAGACAAACATTGATAAGCTTGAACTTCTTCAGTGGAGAGCTACTACCAAGATTGCTAAGGCTGAGCATATATCCTTCTGATGGAATCAGGTTTATTTAGTCTTAAAGAGGAGAAGGTTTTCTGGTACTTAATAGCTTTGCAGTAGCTATGCGGTGGTAACAGAGGAAGTGACCCAGCCTCATCACAGTGATGCACAAAACGATAATGAGAGACAATGACCATAAATGAAAACAGAAGAGGTTCTGTCTAAATATAAATAAAAATCTCACTATGAAGATAATAAGCACTCAAATTATTCAGAGAGGCTGTGGAATCTTTATTCTTGCAGGTTATTCAAGACCTGACTGGACAAAGCCCTAAGCAACCTTGTTTAAAATCAGTGTTGACTGCTTTGAACGGGAGGCTGTAGTAGATGACCTCCTGAGCTCTTTTTCAAAATAAGTCAGTCATTGATTCTATAATTCAGGTCAGTGCAGCTCACAGAGGCTACCATAAGTATTTTAAAAGTTTAAAACCACAGAAAGCTTAACACATACCTTTCAAATTGTACTTTCATGGAGAAAATGATATTTATAGGTACACTTAAACAGAGTAAATGAAGCTTGAGTAAAGGCAGTAAGAGAAACGTAAAATCAGAGTCAAAGTCTTACTGCATTCATGTTGTAAAAAGTAACAGACCAAGAACTTTGAAAGCCTTTAGCTTTTATGAGCCTAAGCCACAAGATTTTACAATCTTAAATTCCCTTGTCAACAAAATAAATTGTTATGCTGCTGTAAGAAACTGTATAATCAAGCACATGTTCTGTTATTAGACTTCTCAAATTAGACAGCAAATTAAAACCATCCCACAATAACACCCTGAAACTGCAGTCATTTAAAGAGTTTCAAAATCTGTTTCTCTTTCTTTAAAATGTATTTGCTCATTATCAACTATTCTTCCAAATTGTAGTCAATGAAACCAGTTCTATAGCATTTATGGTTCGGAAAAAGTACAAAGCAAGTATTTTCTGTGAATTAGCTAACATAACTGTGTTTATAAACATGAGTTGCAATTAACAAACTCAGTACTTACAAAAAATTAACCCAAAATAATGTTCAAAATCACTTAAGAGCAGACATAGCTGCAACAAACATGTAGAACCCAAGGGACATTTTGACTTTCAGTGACTTGTGCAGTGTTTTTATTGCAAAGATAAGGGATACCTCTAAGTGCAAACAATTAGAATTGGTAAATATTTACAATAGAATAGGTAAGCAGACAAAGAATAAAATAAATAACCAGATAAACAAATCTTATAAATGAAGAGGTGAGACTGCCAACACCCTCCCACTGCATCAAACAAAACTGTAAAAGGTTCTATTCACATTTAGTGTAAAGAAAGGGCATAGTTATTTTAAAGCAATTTGCTATATTACTTTTAAAGTTTGATAATTATTAGGTTTAAAAAGCATTATGCTAACAAATTACATTTCAAAGACAGATGTCACAGCCAATTTCATGTTGTTAATCGGTAATAAACCACCAGCAACTAAACTGTAACTTCTAATTCTCAAAGAAACCATAGTTACCTGGTCTAGAAGATCTTCAACTTTTTTTTGCCATCCATCCCTTGCTGCTTTTTTTTCACGTTCTTTTAGCTGCAGCAGCTGAGTCATGGCTGCCTTCTTATCCTCTTCATGCTGCAGCCTCAGCTCTTCACGAAGCTTATTACATTCCTGTCTAAAAGCAAAGGTGAAATAACTAAAATGCAGTGGAACTTGTGCAAGAAATGAGGGAGAATTAAGAACTCTGTAATAATTGGAAAATTTTAGGTAGTAACAGAAGCCCTTCCTTTACATTTCCTTTCCTATTACATTTGCGTGTAATACATACTTCATTTCTTATTAAAGAGTAAAATGAAAAAAATCAATACTTGCCGAAGATTTTCTGTCCATTTTACTTCCAAGTCACGAGCCATTCTGTCAACTTTGAACTTTTCCTCTTCTCTCATGCTAGCAATCATTGCCTCATGCTGTTGTCTCTCCTGATCTAGTTCTCCCTGAAAACACAAACTTCACAATAGAGACTGATCAGCAGCAAAAAGGTATTTCAAACCTTAAATAAGTGTATTTATAATAAAAGTGTCAGTTACAGCTGGCTTGTAAAACTTGAACTTTTTCAGTGTGTGTGGTTCCTAATTACGCACAATCAATGCCTATACATCTGATGATATTTCTTACTTGTAGAACAGAATTATGCACTCCTATAAAAATCTATAACAAGCAATTTTCCAATAAGTCATTCTGGAATGAATCTTTTCAAATACGGTTACACTGAATCACAGAATAATGTGGGTTGGAAGGAACCTCAAAAGGTCATTAAGTCCTGTTCACTGCAGGACTAACTTCAGAATTGCTCAGCTTCTTTGGCAAGCATGATTTGAATTATTTTTTTTAAAGCAGCAAATATTCAGTATTTGAATTTCAAACCTTGGGCTACCTGGATTTGATATAAAGTTCATGTACCTTCTTTATGTTCCTTGACTGGGCAAACCTGCTAGAAACACGGTTTCATAGTCTGAACACAGAAAAAAAAAATACAAAATTCCTATCAATTTCTGTCAAATTTTACTAGAACAGTATTAGGTACTACCTAGAAACCATACTTACATGAATGTTTCTCAGTAGTGCTTGCTTCATCCATGAGAAGCAAACATGGCCCTCTACATTTAATTAAGGCTCTTTAAAGTGATTTTTTTTTGTAGGATTTTTCATGGATGGATTTTAAAATCCATTAAGATAAATGTTATTGCCTGTAACCTGCTATATGTGAATATTTAAATGTTATAATAGATGAAGAGAGAAGAACTCATTAGGTTATAAAGACACTTAGAGAAATTATAAAAAATACAGAGGAAATACAAACTGCAATAGGGTGCCCACCTACTGACCATAGCCACAGAAATGAATAATAATAAAAAACCCACAACCAAAAAAACCCCAAACAAACAAACCCCAAAATATTCTGTTTCAGGTTGGTTTTGTTAAGAAAATATCACCAGTATGAAAACAGATCCAGGGATTTACTATTATTATTTCTTTTAATATTTGCTGCTCTACTTCAAACATTGCTGTGATCTTGTAAATGTACATTGTTTAGTGAGGAAAGAAAAAGGAAAGGTTATACTTAAATTGAATGAGCTACTGACAGATTAACTGACAGTTCCAGTTCCACCTAGGCCAACTGAAACAGCAATATATTTCTGCTTAAACAAAGTGGTCATATTTTCTGGATGACAGTCTGCTATCTTTCAAGATATAATAATAGATATCTTTAAAGCACTCTTGAGCATTTTCCGAAATTCTAGATTTGATCCTGAAATGAAGACCATGCTCATTACTTGAGGAAAACATGGCGCATAAAAATGAATCTAGAGCTAGTGAGCTCTGGATCTTGCTTTTCACAAAACCATGAAACTGTCTGGAATAGCACTGGTCTAACAGAGATATTTTTTACATTCTCAGGAAATTCTGAAAAATCCACCTCTGGATTTATTTTCTTTGGACACACTTTAGCACAATTCATATTAACCACAGAAAGATGTGCTTGCAGCAACACCCATTAAATACTAGAAGTGTTCTGAAAACAAACAAAACCCAAATCCACCCACCCCAAACCAACCAACACAAAAACCAACCCCCAAACCAGCCCATCTTAATTTTCCATTTCTTTCTCTCTTCTCTTAAAATAAAGAGAAATCTCTTTTTTAACAAAGCCATATGAAGTTCTTTCAATAACATGTACACTATAATACTTCTTGCCATTTTAAAAAGAAGACCAAAATCACCATGACTGTACTTTGCACAATTTATTCTCCAACATTATGGTTACCTCAACACTATACAATGAATCTGTGGTCTCTCGCAGTCTTGCTCTAGTTAATTCCAGTTCTTTCTGCAGTATCTCCTGAGCTTCCTGAAGACTGGAAATATGCCCTTCTGCAGTACCAAGGCCTTGCTCACTTTTTCGTACTAGGTCTTGCAGACGAGACACCTATGACATTAAAAAAAATAAACGTGATTTCCATACTTATTAATAATGGCAGCTAAGTCATCCTGGCTTCATTTTCTTCCAGTGTATTGTACAACAATACACCTTTTTCTATCTGTTTGCGCTTCAGCTCCCCATCTATAAAATAATGATACTGTATTTTTTTCTTTCAAGTAAAAATATTAGAGATTGAGCATTGTTCACCAGCTATACGTGGAAAACTTTTTAAATACATAGGCTGGTAAAAACAGAATAACTGGAGGCAGGGGGACCAAAGGACAACAGCTAAGGGGAACTGAAGCTTTTCAGGCATTAGTAAAAGTCTATGCCATTTCGTTTGTATGTTGAGATAAATTCATTCACACTGAGTTTATTCATTGCAAGAAAAGACTAACCTTTCGTTTGCAGGTATGAGCAGGTAACAGTTATAACTACTCTTTCTGCTTATTAGCATAATTATATGCAAACAGTGTTTATAACATACACAGGTGCACACACATGCTCTCCCAGAACTCTCTCCCTCTGTATGCAACCCATAAAGTGTTTACAAAAAAGACTCTTTGCCTCTCAGTAAGGAATTCCAAATTTCTTTGGAAGACAGATTGCAGAGAAATCTAATGTAATCTTGAGAACAGGGGAAGTTTAGATTGGATATAAGGAGGAAGTTCTTCACAGTAAAGGTGGTGAAGCACTGGAATGGGTTGCCCAGGGAAGTTGTGAATGCTCCATCCCTGGCAGTTGCTCCATCAAGGCCAGGTTGGACAGAGCCTTGGGTGACATGGTTTAGTGTGAGGTGTACCTGCCCATTGGAACTAGATGATCTTAAGGTCCTATTCTATTCTATGATTCTATATACAGACAACTAGCAATTCCCTACAAAACACAACTACCTTAAGGAGAATCTGTGTATTTGGTTGCAGCGCACTATTGCATGGAACATAAACAGCAGTCCTGTCAATCTGAAGGACACAAAACATGCAGAAATGCCTCTCACAGGGTTTAGGTCTATTCTGCTGATGACAAAGCAACACTGGAGGCTGTTTAAAATGATCCTTAGTAATGTAATTGGAAATGCTTTGCATGGAGATGGCCAGTCTTTAGACTACTCTGTCAGGTGACATGGAGACTTTCTAAAAGGTCTTGGCTGGTCTGCAGTGAAAGGAAGCAAACCTAGAGAGTAAACAGCCAGTATCATCCTATCATCCTGAGATACATGTGAGAAAATATCTTGACTTAACCTGAACTCTCAAAAAAAAGTGTCTGGCAAGTAATTAAGATCACACTGTTTTTAAATAGCTTTGTACTAGGAAAAGCCAAATGAGGCTTGAATCTTCCTCATCCTTATACTAAGATAATTGCTGTTAAAAAGTCTGTCAAGAAGAAAAGAGAATAGGATGTGTTCAAAAACAGCTTTCTCAGCAGAGAAGTTAGAACTAAGCTAACATCTGCAGAAAGTAATAAATATAAGCCTACTGTTGACATCTGCAACTTTAAACAAAACAAACAGAAAAGGAAGCAGCAGTAAAAACGTGAGAGCTAAGCTAAAGATGTGCCAGATATTTCACAGGGAAGTTTCTGCCAAATCAATGAAGGCATTGATAAACTGCTGTCAGTTGTCAATAGGGATTCAAATGGTAAGCCACAATTGCAAGCGAAGCACTTCTCTCATGTGATTTAGATAAATATAGTAATAAAACAAAGCACATCTCCTCTGCACTACATGGAGTGGATTTACAGTACACTCTAAATTTACCACCAGAAATGCTTTCTCTCATTCTCTCAATATACAAAATACACTGTAATACGTTTATCCTGAACATAAGAATGTATACAAGCTCAAATACTGAATAGCACCTGGCCCTAATTCCCTATTTTAGTTTTTTTTCAGTTATACATTTCTTATCTATGCCCATTTTTGAATTTAGTGTGCTGATGAATTTTCCACACCTGAACTTGATAGCAGTTAGATAATGACAATTCATTGTTAAAACATTTGATTACCTTCAAAGAAAGAACAAGTTTATGACTCACGAGCCAAAGAGAAGTAAAAACTAAATTTAAATTTAGAACTTTATTTAGTAAAACTAAATAAAGCCTGCAGTGTTGAATGACAATAGTGTTCTCCTCAGATCTCTCTAGCAACAAAGAAAGTTAACATACAGCAGAGAAAGCTAAAAAGAAATAACTAAACTCTGTAATTTTGAAATGAAAAATAAACCTATGTATGATTTTGTTAACATACATAACAAATACATTTTCATCAAGCATAGTGTTAAAGAGCAAGAGCAGTTCCAGCTTCACTTTGCACCATCTCCAAGTATCAGCAAATGCACTCACAACTATCAGAAGGAAGGATGGTCTCCTGTTTCACAGGTACTCATGACTGACGGATCAGCAGTGCCACCGAGCTCTAAAGACTGTAGATTCAACTACTCTTGTGGTATATCTTAATATACTGAAACTATATTAATACATACTTTAAGAATATATATCTAATGTATTTCAATACCTTAATATGTGTATTAATATAGTAATGTATTGATATACTAATAATATGTCAGTATATATCAATATAACATATACCTTAATATAGTAATAATTCAATATATACTTTCAGAAGGACAACCTTTCCCATTTACTAAAAACAAGAAGTTTTGTTTTTAGTAAAAACAAAGCAAGTTTAACATTTGTGCAATTTGCAAGCCACCAGAATTCAACAAACAGCCACCATCTCCAGAACTTGTACAGTATAGAAAATGGCGATTAAAAGTACCGCTGCAAAAAATCACTTAATGCTTGAGTCCATCTAAAGCTCACACAGAAATCATATGTCTGACCTGCTGAACAAAGAGACTGATGAACTATTTTCTTGAAGAAAAGCCAAAGTTCCAGGCAAGAACAGACTGATGGTTTGATGAATGGATGTATTTCTACTTTAAAAATACCACATTATGAAAAGGTGGTGATTTCAAAATCAAGAAATTAAAACCGCATTGAGATATGATATGTTTAACATTGACTGCATGTATCAAAACATTGCAAATAATTTAAGTTTTACCAGAAATAAGTATTTCAAATCAACTTTTCATAGAAATATATGAAGATCGTCTGCAAGTCAGGAAGCTGACCAGAATTTACAATATGCTAACTGTAACCAAATACAGGTTTAAATATAGTTAATTTTCCCTCTGTCTCCTGATATATTTTGTGTAGAGGTATGGGTACCTAATGAGTAGATAAGCACAAGAAAAGTTGTTTACATCAACTGTTTTGTAACTCAGTCTCTTTTGCTTTGTTAATTTTGCAAAGGACAACAAAATCATTGCCCAGAAGCAGTCAAGTAACATCATGTATGAAGAATACCCCACTTTAAGCACAAGATCGTTATTGGTAAAATGTGGTCTAGTGCACACGACTGTTAGCTGATACAATTAAGTTAACCCTTGCCTCCTGATTGGCAGAAGTCAGTTTTGTTGTCAGTTCTTCCTTGAGGTTTTCCAGCTGCTGTCGGAGCTGATTCTTATCATCTTCCAAATGTAGTTTCTCTTTCTCAAACTGCTGCTCCAACTCCTTCAGAAACAAAAAGTATGGAAGAAATATTAAATTCTTGTCATACAGCCATCACAAACTACAGGCGTACTACGTGAAAATTATTCCTCCTGGCATAAACATTTCTGATTTCAACTAAGAATTGTCCTTTCTTTAAAGTGTTAAAACATGAAATTTCCTTCCACAGTGGCGGTAGTATTCTTTTCAGTTTATTTTCTACTTTATTCCTTGATTAGTTTCTAATCTAACAGCCTTGATTAATCACAAAGTAAAGACAAACAGGGCTTTCTTTTCAATTACTAGTCTCACTTTGTACTTACTTACCAAATCATTAAAACTACATCTGCTTTTACAGGTTTTCAATCTGAGTTGAAAGAATGCAGAAGTTTCCACTTTTCATAGAATTAAATTGATAATATGCTTATCCTTCAGCCTTTACTCATCCATCTCCTACACATAATCCCCACAGAAAACAGTAAATCCTAAAAATCCAGACTGAGCTTTGGGAAGTTTTTCAAGCTGTTACAATAAAGGAAAGAAAGCCCCACACCATATCTATAAAATGTATGCAGAACCAAAAGAAATTAACCATTAGTCTTCAAGTTCAACTACACACAAAGAATCAAATACCACCTCTGTTTTGATTCAATCTCTATGGAGTAACAACATAATTCTTAAATTAACTCTTTTGGATAAATTACATTTCTTTTACATGAGCCTATGTTGTACATGCATTTCTTAGAATTTTTTTTAAGGAAAACTATAAATTCATGCTTCAGCTTTACTAATATTTGGAATATATTTTCAGGATAACAATTTCTGTCACAAAATACGTAACATGAAACTTTAAAATTAAAGGCATTATTACATATTTAGTGGAATATACTACACAACTTATTTCACAACAATGTCTTCTTCAAGAAGATTAAGGCTGCTAAGTAAGGTGCTCCAGTAAGAGCCAGGTAATACAACAGGATTTTCTGTGCAGCTACAGAGGTTTCTTTATTAATTCCTTCCTAAGGCTTAGCATCGATTCAGTGACTGTGTAGCCCTGAGCTCAAATATGTGAGATATCAGTAATCTCTCAGAAGCAGATATGAAAACAGAGACCAGAGCCACACATGGAACAAAAAGTACAACTACAGGCATTACTGAGGTTGCAGATAGCAGGAGAGTTAAAGGCTCAAGAAGTCAAGAGGAAAAAGACTGTCACGAAAAGGTGTAAAACTCTCAGGAAAACTGGGGAGCTACAAGACAGCAACTTGGTGTCAACATACAATCCAAGAAACAACGGAGGCCAACACTTCCTCAACCAAACCAAGAGACTCCTCAAGTGTTTTGCGGGGGGTGGTAAGCATATTAAGCTTAGTAGCTTGCTCTAGCACTCCTGTTAGGGTGTGCAATAGCCGATAAATAATTTGTGTATAAACTGCTTGCATAATCTCTGTTCATGGTAGAAGTTGATCAGTGACAAAAGAGAGGGCTACTGTACTTTCAGTTATACACTGCTATACAATGTAACTCAACAAGTGCATGTTTTTTCCCAAGCCCAGATCACCACCCGAGACAAATGATACTTGCTTAATGCAACTTGCTCAATTTTTCTTGTTCGCACTGTGAAATCTGCTGTCTGCAGAATTTCACTAGTGCTATTTAGACCTTATTCTGACAACTAAGTAATTAGTTCTTTTATGATACTTGTCAGTACAGCTGTGCAGTACTGCAAAACTATTAGCAGCTCTATTTTCATAATCCTATGAACTGATGCCATTTTTGCAGTTCATTTTATAGATGGAAGAATTGAAGCAAAGAGATATATTTAATCCATTGAGTCGTTTTCTCATTCTTTAGAATTCTCTTCTATTTTTTAAAACCTTTCCAAACCCCAGATGCCTTTCCCAGTCTTCCAGTCCCAATAAATCCTCATGTTCTCTATCCCAAGGCTCCTTGTACCATGCTTCTTCCTCATATTAAACTCTTCTCTACATTTGAGACTTACTGTTTCTTACTTGAATTACTCAAATAACACAAAATGTGCTTAGTGAGATACATTTGACAAGAAGAGACAGTACACTGATGAAGATTTACTGTTATCTTGTCCCTGATATCTTTTCATAGCTGATTTTTCCCCTCGCTAAAATCAAGTTTCACATGCGTCACGTTTATAGACGTGTTCCCTATTTTAACTAATTAAGAACAAACATTCTGTGGTATCCTTTGGTTTATTCTCTAGATTAACATGATAACAAAAGAATAAAGAAAAACATTCCCAGAAACCCTTAAGAGACATTTTTTTTAATGTCTGGTATGTTTAAAGTTACAGAGAAACTAGACCTGAAAGATCAGATGCATATATGTCTCAGAGAACTACTTCCATTACTGGGAGACATGAAAAAACTCACTGGAATTTGCTCAAAATAAAACTAAGAAGCAACACACTAGTAAAGTAATTAAAAAAAATAAAATCAGTCTAAGATGCACACCTCTAACTACAGCTGTGTTTCTCAGTATAATTTCCTGTGAACAGAGGAGGATAACAAACCCTTAAATTAAACAGCATAACAAACCCTTAAATTAAACAATTAAATTTTAGCCTGTATTTACTATATAAGGCAAAAATTATGTCTCAGGTACATGCAAGCAGATTAGGAAACAATAAGTCAAAACTGGTCCTCTCATTCATCCCAACAAAAAGAGGCCAATTTTGTGAAACAAAGAAAGCCTTTCAGTTGCAGCATTCCAGTCAAAGGTAAATAAATAGACAATACACAGTAAGCATAATTTATGTAATAAGGTAAGTTAGGAACAGCTGTTGTTGTCTAAGTATACATGTAGCCAAGTACAAATATAATAACTTCTGTATTTCTGTTTATTAAAAAATTAAATATCAGAGTAACATAATCTTTCACCTCCTTCAGAAGTGATATACCAAGGCTTCTGAATATGGCTCACAAAACCTGGGGAAACACAACCTACTCTACTGAAAAAGAAAGTTCTGTAATCTGAGAATTTCCCTTCTGTATGCAGACAAATGACAGTACAAATGCTCTTTGTATTCCACAAGATACATGTTATTTAAATAAAGGCTGAGAAGTTTCTTCAGTGAGGTCCAGCAGATCTGCAGGTAACTCCAAATAAAACTGGCCATGCAACAAAACCATGCAGTCCAAGGTTCAAACTGCAACATCTGCTTTTTGAAGTACGTTTTATTACTAAGGAAACACAAACCTACCATCTGCAGTTTTTTCTTATCCTTATTAGCATTAGTGTGCGCAGCCTCAATCGCAGTATGGTGTTTCCATGCCAATTCTTCTAAGGTCTTGGAATGAGCCTCTTTTAACTGTGCAGCCTCTCCTTCCAATCTTGCTTGCAATTTTACCAGCTCCTTCTCGTAATATTCACGTTGTGACTCTCTTGCTTCATTTACTTTCTGTAAAAAACAAAAATAAAATAATTTCTATGAAATGGTAAAAATTCAGAACAGTAGCAATACAAAATATTACTGATGGCAGAAATCTACAAAAATTAACTTCCCTATAAAACAAATTGAGCAAACACTAAGCACTGACTAAATCACTCAGTAACCAAAAGGGTAGATTCAATATATCTCTGCAAAGCAATATATCCTTTTTAAAATATACTTTTTGCTCTATTTAATCTGGGGAAATAGAAATAAGGTATCAAGCCTGTAGAAAATTTCAGTTCAATATTTTCAAACATGCTAAGCACATTTTCGGAGAATGGCTTTTTAAATTATTCTTTAACCATTTCACATGTCTCTTTACTTCAGATACTAGACATCCAGCTACAACTACAAGGTCTTCAATGAAATTGTTAAATATGTTCAAAGCAGTCTGAGAAACATCTGACCTCCTTCCACTTTCACTTTAGACTCTACATTATATGTACATTCTATCTACAGTCATCCTACGTTGTTACATGAGATATACTTGGAACATAACACTGCTGGTCCTAATCCAGTCATATAAAACAAAAATCAAAACTGAATTATTTTTTTCTGAAGCAAATAAGCCGTTTAACCTTCTCCAAGGCCAGAATTTGCTGCCTTTGTCGTTCATCCAGACTCTGTGTTTTGCTTTGTAGTAAGTTTCTTTCCTCTTCCAATTGGGATAGTTTTTCCTTTAATCTAGACTTTTCTGATTCCAAGTCTCTGATTGTAACTTCTTGAGTCATTTGAGTAGCTTGAAGCATTCCAATGTGACCTAGAAACAAAACAGCTCTTTAAAAGCTCACAGCATTGGTTTCATGTAATTCATACTTCAGTGACTTCTAGAAGTACAGCTCTAGTGGAAGCTTTCATATCGAACTCCATCATCTTCACTGCAATGACCACCTTCCCCTCCACTCTTCCCTTTTTTAATTTTATTGTAAAATGCCCAGCAACAGTAGAGTGCCTGGTGCTGGGGCTCCTTTAGTTTGTTTTTCTGGTTCAAAGTTGAACACTGACTCCAAAAGAAAGCAGACACAGGTAACAATTTGAATATGGACAGCCTACACTGAAGAACTTACCCCACCTAAAACAGCATCTTTTTTTCCCCAGTATAAGCTACACAGTGGGAAGCAAAACATTGACATACAATAGTAAAGATGTTATTGTTTTAGCAAATTCATAATTTTGCCAGGTGTAGCAGCTAAAGCTATGTAAAACTTATGGTATTACACTTAATTTTGCTAAAGGGATATGACCAAGAGATGTAACAGAACTCATTCTCTCTAAAGTGTGATCTAATGCCTTGCGGGTTAGAGGCTTGCTTTTAATTTCTTTACGTATATTAAAAAAAATATCTACAAAACTAGACAGTATAAACACCTGTCCTTAGCATCGCAAGTGGAAACAGGTTTATAACTTCAGCAATTTTTGTCCCTGTTCTTCTTAACTTATATCTGTACTATTGAAAATACTACTACTAGGTAACTAACTATAGTAGTGAAACTCTTGCTATTCTGGGAGAGCCTTAGGAGAGGATAGAAGACTATTTTGGAAAAGAAGATTCTCCTAGTTTTGTTCATTAAAAGACGAGAGAGGATAGTCTCCCATTATTTTAACATCTTTTTAGAAGCATCATGAATTCATACCTGGGCTGACATTCCATTGGAATGGATTCTTTTGATAGAAAAACCTTACTATCCTTTTTGTGAATTGCATGACCCAGACCTACCCGTTTCATAAACTGCATGTTTGAAATATGCCTTAAAAAAATTATCATATGATAGAATGAAATGGTAACTAAACAGACTTCCAAGGATTACACAAAGATCCTTAACAATTTCACATTAAAAAAGCAGCCAGATAAAAATATATTGTTTACTCAGAATAATTTTTTTATTAATAGGTCTTTTAGGGTTTCCTTTACAGCTGTTTTCTTCACTTCCCCATGCTTGTTGGCACATGGAAAATTATCTGTAAGAACTGCTTCATTATTTGAAGGACCCAAATAACGCCTTCATATAGGCCACATCCACATAGCCAATTTGTGAACTGGTCATGTGTAGCCAGCTAGTAGTAAGCTAATACAGTAATAATACAATATTACATATAGTATATAATATAAATAGTAAACTATTACAGTATTAGCAAGTTAACGCTGTAAAATATTGTCTGTTCCTATGGTGGACCGACACAGTCTAGCAACATCCCAGCCTTCAAAACAAGGTGATCTTATTCAAACAGACTTTTGGGAAGAGCCCTGGGCTAGTGCTAATTATTAATGGAAACAATCAGGTATTTCTAAAATTGGTGCAGTTGAACAAGGCCAAAGATAAGCCAGGGCCTTATTTTTAGTCTGCAATCCTACCTATAGTATACTAGTTCAAGTATCTGGGCCCATGCCCTACTACTAAGCAGTTTACAAGAGACACAATGCCAATGAGGGAAAACCTGCATGTGTACAGCCAAGTTTTAAACTGTTTTCTATGCCTTTCCATATGCCAACAAGCACAGAGAAGCAAAGAAAACAGCTATAAGGAACACCCTAAAGGACTTATTATACAGTAAGCTGCAAGTGTTCTGACAGTAAGTGTAAAGCAAAGTACCACAGTCTTAGCAAAAAAGACAAGGCAACTGAGACAGGATGGAGGAACAGGAAGGATGTCTCAATGACTATGTGGAGAACAGATAGATACACAGCAGAAGCATTCTGTACAAGTGCACTTAAGAAATTCCAAGGCCTGGAAGGTATATGCATGCCACACAAAGTAGAATATTTGGACAAAAGTACACACATACGCACACAACCCCCCCCCCCCCCCCCAAAAAAAAAACAAAAACCCAGGAGTCTTAAGTACAATGCATGCAATATCAAAACAGTTAACCCCCAGATTTGTCAGAAATTTCTATGGCCACAACTGAACAGTCTTGAGGCACTCTAAACCTGCACAAGACAGAAAAAGGAAAGGCTAGTACAAAATCATTTTCAGATTAAGTTACTAACATACATACTGGCTTTGAGAACAAGATCAGCAGCCTGCTGCTGTAAGCGCTCTCTAGCAGCTGCTAGCTCACTTTCCACTTCTTTGTGTTTGCTTAACAATGACATCTCCTCCTCCTTCACATCATCTAGCTGTTTTTGAAGAACCTAGAGGAAGCATAATATAATGCTGTTATCATTACATACACAATCATGTGTAAATTTAAATGAGCATTAAGTCAAAATGTACAGAAAAGACCTTTCAGCAAACAAGTTTTATTCATCCAAAAGATGAAATCTTGTAACATTCATTTGGTATTACATGTTTTTCCAAAAATATTGTTGAAGCATTACAAGATACTGGATATACAGCATGATAAGAATGCACAAGAAAAATATAACAATGTTCAAAAAGTTACATGAAAAATAAAAACAATAAAATGGTCTACACAGTTTGGGGGTCAATGTGAGAAACCTAGTTTCCTCACATGGAAGAATACACTATGTGTTCACAGAAGTTTACAGTGTCCTTCATTGCAACTGAGTTTACTACTAACACAAGTTAAGCTGCACATGGATATACATAAAACGAGAGCTAGGCAATTAGCTAAATCAAAGTTTCTGTATGTTTTAAATCTGATGTACTGATTCACAATGTTTTATCTTGGGTAGTGTGCTGCTGATGATGTGTCCTCAGCCATGCAGGAAGGAAAAGGAAATCTTGTTCCACTTTAAAAGGAAAGCTAGATTTCTCTTCATTCAAGTCACTGGAATAGCAGTCATTTCAATTAACAGAAGTGGGGAAAACACTGGACAGAACATGTAATAAAACATGGACACCAGAAGTGGTGAGATTAAGCATGTCATCACCTCATCCATAATCATTAGAGTAGGATCTGACTTTTAAAATCTGCTGCGAATACTGTACTAGACTTCCTCTTATTTGGAACTCCATTATTGCAGGTATGATCAACATACAGTGGGTTTCCTCTTCACTGCAGCTCTCCAGAAACTCATCTTCTTGACGCAGTCAATTGAAAGGCAAGAGTTTTGCTTTGTTAACTGAACAGAGTTGGAATGAACTTTTGGAAGGCCCCGTGGGAAACTGGAATAAGATACTCTGAATTTAACGTCTGATAAAGGCAGCAGTCTTCTTTCACTATACCCTGTACTCTTTACACAGAAAGGAAGGATAGCCCAAAAGATGGGTTGGAATTAGACTGTAAATGGAAAAAACTCATGGCCCATCTCAGCTCTACCCAGTGATGCTTCCAAAATTACTATGACCAGCACATTTAAGGTATTTCTGGCTTTGAAACTCGAGTTAATACAAATGCAAAAGACAAGATAATACTCAAGCTTATCCACTGAAATTACTGTTCTTCAGGCCTCAGAACAGCTATCAAAAACCAAAAAAAATTTCACAGAATCTTTTCCTTCAAGTCCAGCATGTCCAGTCCTTTTCTTTTTGCTGACAATAAAAACAAAAAATAAATCAGTTGATGTCTTTTCTTAGGGACAAGAAACTTCTGTTTCTAAATAACACTGTGCTGTGGTTTAACTCAGTATGCAGCTAAGTATCACATAGCTGCTCACTCCCTACCCACCAGCGGGATGGGGGAGAGAATGAGAAGGGTAAAAGTGAGAAAACCCATGGGTTGAGATAAAGACAGTTTAACAGGTAAAGCACAAGCCACGCACTGCTGAACCCAGGACAGCACGCAAGCAAAGCAAAACAAGAAATTCATTTACTCCTTCCCATCGGCAGGCTCAGTCATCTCCAGGAAAGCAAAGCTCCATCACTTGTAATGCCACTTGGGAAGCAAAATGCCATCACTCTTCACACAGCTTTTATTGCTGGGCATGATGTCATACAGCATGGGACATCCTTTTAGTCAGTTGGGGTGAGCTGTCCCAGCTATGTCCACTTCCAACCTCTTCTGCACCCCCAGTCTACTTGCTCATGGGGTGGTGTGAAGAACAGAAAAGACCTTGATTCTGTGTAAGCACTGCTCAGCAGTAATGAAAACATCTCTGAGTTATCAATGCTGTTTCCAGCACAAATCCAAAGCATAGCCCCAAACCAGCTACTATGAAGGCAATTAACTCTATCCCAGCCCAAAAGTGAAAATGTGTGCAGTATTTGTTACTGCTTGCAAAAATATAATTGAAGATGTTAAAATAAAAAAGTTAAAACATTCAGAAAGCCATCTTTTTTTCTTACCTCCTACAAACCTTTTCTTAACACCCAACATGTTAAGCAAGTTAGTCACTAATGAACTCTACAAACAAGACTGCACTGAATACATAATATTCATTGTATTTATACTGTCAGTTACTTGATATTCTTGTCGAATACACTTCTGCAAGAAACTGTACAGTCCAGTAAAGCAGTTTGTCAACTTTTCTAGCAAGCATTTCAGTTTGTCAGCGTAACCAAACACGTAACTTCAAAATATAAATAAATAATGAAATTTACATTACGATAATCAAGTATGAGTGACATAAAATTAACTTTACATATTCTAATGACCTCAAACTACCAGCCTCTTGGACATGCAGCACAAATAGAAACAGAAAACTCATAATCTTGGGAACAACGTATCATCAGTCTCACCTGAACATTGTTTTCTGCTGTGCCAAGAGCCACCTGAAGTTTTTGGCACTTTTCCCGTAGACTGGCAGCTTCATCCTGGACCATTTGCAATTCAGTTTTAAGCTTTCCCAGATTCTTCCGTAACATACTTTCCTGGTTTTGAAATTCTCTTCTTAACTCCATTTCTTTTTCTTTGCAAGCATGTAGACTTTCTGCTGTAAAAAGCTGAGATCTTTTCAAAGAATCAAGCTCATGCTCATAGAAGGACTGTGCTTTGCTGAGTTTGCCTTCATAGTCCTCAATGAGTTTTTTTCTTTCCAGCCTTAATTCTTCAACTTTACTATTCAAGTCTTCCAGCTCCAGCCTATGCAATTCCTCTAGTTTTTCTTGACCCTTACTTAAAGTAGCATTCTGAGTCTGTTGAGTCTTCAGAAGTTCTTGAATCTCAAGCCTGTGGGCAGCTCTCAAGTCTTCCAGAGCTGTACGCTTGTCCTTCTCATACTGCACTTGCAGCTGTATGAAACTTCGTAACCTTTCCTCAAATTTCTTTCTGATTTCTTCCACTTCTCTTGACATGGTCACCACACGTTGGACATGCTGAGCTTCTGCACAAAGCTGCATATCTTCAACTCTGTCCTTATAGGCTTCAAATTCTGTCAAGGCCTGATGTTTCATCTTTTTATGATCTTCCAGTGACTCTTCTAAAACCTGGATCTTTCTCTTGAGATCCATTTCTTCTGCAACTTTACTTTTATATTGTAAGATCTTCTCTCTGGTCTCTGCAAGGATTTGTTGAATTTCTTCTTCATGAGCATCTTTAAGGGCTTGGATAGCAGCTTCATGTTCATCATTTTTAGTGTTCAAAGCATATATTACCTACAAACATGAAACAATATTATATTAGAGAAAAGACATTCCGGTTATCTGTTAAATTGTAAGAAAATCACCTAGGTACTCTGAAAGTTACTTTGGCAATCTCACATGATTTCATAATACAAATAAATCAACAAATATTATTATGAATGTGACTGCATAAATGCTGTATTAGTCATGACAACCTTATATATCTTGTAGAATAGTTTTCTATACTTTTTAATCCTATGATTTTCCTCATGAAAGTTTTGCCTTTATATACACGTTGCTGCTGTAAATACTACATTCAACACATTGAAAAACAAAACATTTACTTAAAAGAATTAAAAGCATTGCCGAAGAAATCTGAACAGAGGCCTTCTATTGGAGTATAACACACACCAAGTACACATTACAGCATGAAATTAAATTGGAACATGCAACTGAATGTGGTGCCATAATATACATTCTTCAGCAGCCTGAATTCCAGCTCTATCAAATTATTATAAATCTCAGTATTTTAAAAGTAATGGAATAGCTATATCAGATGGAAAATTTGATGCATTGTGTTAGCATAGAAATATTAAAAAAATAGCCTGTTCTAAAGCAAAATCAGCCTAGCAGCATTTCAGCAAAATTAAAGCAGAAACTGAAATACATTTAAAGTTCTACTAGTTGAAATAAACAGTTCCTGCTCAAGTAAGTTTCCAAAAACTGAAAGGCATTAAGGTTGCAAAAAATTGGAGGCAGGCAGATAAAATAAGTTTTGCACTCTCTATTTTTAAACCAGCGGATCAGCCATTTCCTAAATATGCTTCTTAAAATGCTTTTAGTATCAGTAGCTTTTCCAGTACAACTGCATATTTCTCAGAAGTATAAACTTCCCATTTGAGCAATTCACCTTTTTTCCATCTCCACTCTAAATGCATCTGTCGTGGTTTAAATCCAGTCAGGCAACTCGTTCACTCACACCCCCCCTTCTTTCCCTCCCCCTGCTCCCAGAGGGACAGAGAGGAGAATCGAAAAGAATGCAACTCCCACGGGTTGAGATAAGAACAGTTTAGTAACTAAGGTATAACACAAATCACTACTGCTACCACCAATAATAATAATGATAGAGGAAGTAACAAGGGAAGAGAACACCTCACCACCAGCTGACTGATAACTCGCTCCCCCAGCCCGACCAAGCACTGACCAATACCTCCTCCAGCCCCGCAGTCCCAGCCCTTCCGGGTAACTCCCAGTTACCTCCTGGGCATGACGTGCTGTGGTATGGAATACCTCTTTGGTCAGTTTGGGTCAGGTGTCCTGTCTCTGCTTCCTCCCGGCTTCCCCTCCTCCCTGGCAGAGCATGAGGCTCACAAAGTCCTTGGCCAAACCAAAACATCATTGTTATCAGCTCTGTTCCTAAGCCGAAAGTCAAAACACAGCACTGCACCAGTTACCAAGAAGGGGAAAAATGACTGCTACTGCTGAACCCAGGACAGCATCATACACATAACAATTCTTACCAGATGACAGAAAAAAAGAAGTTAAATTGTGCTTTACTGTATTTTCAATTAGCATATCATTCCACAGGTACAGACAGAACCATATTGCCTCCAAGAATACTGAACGAGACAGCTAAAGGCCACAATACTTTTAATGCAAAAGAGTGATATAATTATTAATAAGAATCTACTAGAATACTATATGCCTTGGTCTGAAGAAGTAAAACACAGTAAGTTAGTAACAGTAACAAACTTTTTTTATGCCAATAATTATTAGAGTGTTTAGTTATATTCTATGTGGTAAGGTTAAGCATGTCTGCTGCTGCATTAGCTTTGGTGTCTTGAACTACATGGACTACAACCAAAACATTGGTGTTCAACATTTTGTCTGAAAGGTGAAGAAGTTCAAGTATTTGGCGAAGAAATAGTTTTTACTCCAAATCAGATGTTACGGTTTGGAGAGCTGACCAACTCTTGCGTGGTCAGCTGCAATTTGGTGATCTGCTTTGCCAGCAATTTAGTCACGATGGAATGCTTTTCTAATTAAAAATGTGTAATTCACCTCTAATACTAGCATTATGTGCCAAATATATTTTGCAGTACAGAAAATATCTCCAAAAATGTCATTCATTCTCTCTAATTTTACATGGAAACAGGAACCGATACCTATGAGGAAAAAAAACAAATCCAACACAACATTATCTTACACAAATATTAACATTTTCTCTCTGGTAAACCTTCATTTTAGACTTAACATGTGGGACCCTGGGTCAGAGCACTATATTCAGCCTACTTCAGGTGAAGTGTCTTGCTCCTGGTGCTGCTAGGGTGCTGTTGTACCCATCAGTCTGAAACACGAGAGCCTCCAGAAACATCCTAAGACTACATGAGTGCTGCACACCTATTTAATGAACTACAAAACTACAGTGCCAACAAGGAGTTACTCGTGCATAATCTGTTAATGATTTGGAATACATGAACCAATGAGCCTGACCTACCCTTGCTATCTATGGGTAGGTAAGAACTGTTAGACACAGGAAGAATTAAGATATACTGGGAAACAGTAATAAGGTTTTTTCTAGGGACAAGTCACATCCCACAGACACAGTGGGATGCAAATGGAAAAGTTTAATTTACAACATCAACAAGAAACATCAAAGTTCTCCCAGGCATTATTATGAATTAATTTTATGCAGAAATGTATCCTCTCCTATACTCCAGAATGATCACATTTTCTGTTACAATAGGTATTGCATTCATTTTTTCCCTTTTCTTCCTGTTGACTGAATAATGAGAAGTATGCTATATTTAAGCATTTAAAATGTATGTATTATGATCAATGAAAGGTCAATTTCAGACAAAATAAATGAACCAATTTAAAATCCAAAAAGCGTTTGTTTTTACTGGACAAATTTTGCTCCTTGTTATATTATAGAAACATAGTAATATAGGAAAAATGTCAAAGTTATTCAAAACAGTCTTTTAGAAACCTGTCCACAATCACAGAGTGATTCTTACAATTCCCACAACTGCACTACTACATACAAAGTAGACAGCCAATTATAACATCACATTTCATTCCTTGTCATGCATCACCAGCCAGACATTGTCTACCATTTGGTAAGCTCTAAAGATTTCTCTCATATAATAATCTCTGAAGTTTAATTTTTTTTAATAGGACTTTTTCCTCCTTAAATTCTAATCAAGAGACAACTCTACTCAGAGGATTTATGGGGAAAACCAAGGTACTGCTAAATCTGAAACTCCTCTTTAAAAAAACACATTATGTATACAAAAAAAAAAGAAATTCCAACCCCATAACTATGTATGCCCATGTTTCTTTTTAAAATCATTATTTTCTTTTTTAATCCCTTTTCCTAGAAAGACCTTATATTCCCTTACAAAAAATAGTGCAAATACAGGTGTTTTGTCAATCCAGTCTTTTGTGTTGCTGACAACACAACAGAAACAAGCCTAGAACTTTAGGCCAGGATTGGTTAACTGGTTCACTGCAAGTCATCTTAAATGCTTGGGCCAGTGCATTAGGGGCACAGCATGATGAGCAGGGGTGAGACAAATATGGTCTGCAGCTGTAAAAGTAGTGTCTCCTGCCAATACCATCTCCCCAGAAAAGATGGTCTAACTATACCAGTCTTCCTTTGAGATAAAATCCACAGATGGCAAGAACTTGAGAATTTTTACAAAGCAAATATATTTCCACAGAAAATTTACTTTTACAAATATCCTTTAACTGTTCAACAGTCTTCATGCATTAGCTCAATTTATTCCTTTAGAAACTCTCAAAACAAATACTGAATTACTTTTATTATAGCAACAAATTTTCCAAAGTATTCTCTAATATCTTCTATTTACAATTAATTATTTACAGAATGATGCCATGTTGTTGCTGTTGAACTTCAACACAGTTCGTTTCCAGGAATAGAACATTATCAGATTTCCACTTCTACCTAACTTTCAACCTTTGAATGAAAACAAATGACAACTATTTCTCACTTTCACACTTATTGCTAAACATTTATGTGTAATTTTCTATAAAAGAGAAGTCTTTATAAGTCAGAAGATATGCTCTGCTCACTAACTTCTAAGCTGATAATTAGAAAGGAGAAAATAAAAATACTTATTTTGTACTTTTAGATTTCTTGATGGTAAGTACCATATCATAAGGCATATAGTGTCACTGTGGCACATACACCTAAAGACACTTTCCTCATGCTTCTAAACACGTTCCTCACCTGAAGAACAGATACAGAGCATGTCTCAGCACAGGGAGAGAATGGCCAGTGTGTCCAATTTGGTCATTCACTGTTGCCTTTTATCCTTCTCCTAGAGCTGTACCAGAAAACAAATGACAGGCCTTCTGGGAACTAATCACGACCTTTATGTTATAATAGCCTATCCTGGAAATATGCACTTCAACCAAATCCAGGAACAGGAATAGCCATTACAAGCCCACCAGGTAACAGAAATTAAAAGCATGCCAGCAGGTAAATTTACAGCTGTAGAGCACTCCACAATCAAAGATTCAACAAAGGGAGCACATTACCTGAACTACACTTCATAGCCCAACATGCTGAACAACAACAGGAAGACAGAGTTCACAAGTTCAGCAGCCATGCAGTCTGCTGCCAGGAGTCCAGAGTGGTTTAGACCTCAGGTCTTTGGCCTGGGACAGCAACAGATACCTTCCAAATGATTTCAGCAATTACTGGTGAACTGAGAAACACTTCACTCATTACAATGGGCACAGGAGGAAGTCAGGCTACGATGCTCCAGCTCTATCAGTTGAGTGTCTTCAAGACTGGGTCTCAAAAGTGAAATATTACCTTAGGGGGCAAAAGGGGATTTGGCAGAGACTTTAGTGCATACATGAGAAACAGATGCTTGGGGGAAACCCTATTCCTTTCAGTAGAGCAAAGTCTTTGAGTAGATGGGTGGGGTCCACTGCAGAACAGATGGCATCCTGCTACAGTTAGTTCTTTTTTTTTTTCCTTACATGGGTATCCTTGGATGCGC